TATCCTGACTCACGTGACAGAGTTGGTTTTCTAAGCTTGCAACAACAAATCATGGAAGCCCTCTAGAGACCAGACTTCAGGTGCAACAGCTATCACGAATCATTGGGCACAGAGGCTGTTTAAGAGGATTTTGCACTCTGGTTCACTTCCTCCCTCCCAGTTGTTCCATTCATCCGTAGATGCTGTCTAAGCAAAACTTCAAAACTTGCATCATCAGAGAAGAGGGAGGCCCATTTCTTTCCTACATTTTTTTTTTTCCCCAACACATCCCTTCTCAGATGCTATTTAGAGTACAACTACAAAAACAATTCAGACAGCACAACAGAAGGTGTGGGGAACTCCTAGAGGTCTGGAATGTGTCTGCTCTGTTCCAGGGAAGAGAAGACAAGGTTTTTTAACCCAGTAGTGCCCTTGAAGGATTCATAATGCAGAATGACACTCAGAAGATACATGAACTGGTTTCTGATGGTTATTTATAGCATACATCTAAGATGCAACCATAACCATCTCTCAACCTGTGGATAGGAATACAGGAGATAGAAAAGTTGAGTAAGTTCTTAACCACTACATTTGCTGTCTTGTGGAAGATAAAAATGGCTATGTGAAGAGCCTAACTTCTGCATTTTCTCTCAAAACTGATCACGCTTCTGAGACTGAACCTTCCAGTAGCTACAACAGTTAAGGAAATAAGACAATAAGGAAATAGAGACCTTTTAAAACTCTCAGCTTTCTAGAAAGGATCTGTACCTGATAGAAAAGAAGTTTTGAGAAAAAAGGTAGGAGAAAGTACTTTACAGGACTACATCAACTTTCTTACAATAGCTACTCTTAAGACTTCAAAGTCCACTGTTACTGATAGTGAGCCCAATTCAGAGATTATTTAACAATGGTTTCTGCAACAGGGATTTTTTTTTATGATGTTTGATCCAAAGAGGCAGAGATTAGAGTCAGTCTTGATCAGAGTCACACATTTAAAAAACAGTGGTCAGAGAAGAGATCCCAAACCAATTCCACGCCTCAATCAACGGCTAAAGGTTCATCACTAGAAAAGAACACCCCCAAGCTGCCAGATGGCTGATTCAGGCTTCCAGGCAGGAGACTCATGCTGCCTCCTTTTCTTTGAGGACAGTGAAATACGAACTCACCCCGCAATTCTACATGTAATTCTTCTCTTCTATTAAAAAGAAAAAAGACAAAACCTTTTTCTTCATTATGTTTTATTTGCTTATAGGAGTTGGAACAAAAAGAGAATTTGTACACTGGATTCATTCCAAGGTGAGGTGATGACCTTGAATCACCTCTATTAAGTAAGCCACTTTTTTAGTTGGGGACAGAGGGGAAAAGCAGTCTTCCCAGTCCAATTTTGTTTCCCAGATTTCTGACACTGGCTCAGTCACTCTAGGGAAATTTGCTCTAAGTCCTTCTGGAGATGAGATATTACATAACAAAAATAAAGACCCAAAAATGTGTTACTTTCCCATAACCACAGGAGAGAGATTTCACATCAGTAGCTCCTTAGGCCTTTCCCTGTTCCGTGAATAATTTCTTCCTTTTGTGGTTTACATAAATTAACCTTGCATGCACCTATTTCTCACCAGTCCATTCCAGAACACCTCACCCAAATCTGATTTTTCATGGATTCAGTAAGTTTCTGCCTACTGTGCTCTCAGACCTGCAAAGGAGTACACAGTCACAGCCCATACATACCCTTATTACTAAAAAAGAAGGAAGTTTTAACTCTGCTTCAGTGATGGCTCTAGAAATTAATTAAAAGGACATAGCGAGAAGGTATTTATCAGCAGCTTCCCTCAGCTATCTGCTTGCTGCTTGTTCCCCAAAGCCCCCACCCTCATTCCCATATTTGAGGGGAAGGGCACTTGCTATGTCTAGTTCAAGGTAAAAAAAAAAAAAAAAAAAAAAAAAAAAAAAAAAAAACATAACCACATTTTAAAGCTTTCATCACTGAAGTGTGTAAAAGTCATGCTAGTTATTAGTAGGAAATAACAAAAAGCCCTTCTCCTAGGTTCAGTCAGGAGTAGTTGCTTTCACTTGAGCCACGACCTCAGCCTTAAAGACAGGAAGGAGGAAGCGTTACTGCTCAGGCCGCCTCTCCTGAATCAAGCACAGGATCTGTTCCAGCTCCCAGACATAGGGAGGTTTCAGAGGACACAGCCAAGATGTCCATCCAGGCAGAGGTGCAACGCATCATGGACCTTTTTATGAGTCATGGTAGCACCTGTGACGAAGTCTGTGGAAGAAGCACAGGTACCAGAGAAGCATGTTTCAAACTGGGTGAGTTGGTTCGGTCAAAAGGCACCGTCAGAAGCAGGAAACAACAGATGTTAGAATAAGAAAAAAAGAAAATAATAAGAAGAAAATAAAGAATAAGAAAAAATAAAAAAGAAAATAAAAAAATAAAGGGATGGGTCAAGAAGCAGACAAGCTGCAATGAGGCATCTTCTGGTCGTGAACTGGGAAGCAGCTTTAGCTAAGAGACAGCTTAAAAAAAAACAAACAAAAAAAAAACAAACTGAGACTACACCATGCCTTGGATGCCCAGGGCTGCTCACCTGTGAGGAGCATGCAGTTCTCAGCTGGTTGGGCTTCCCCAAGCCCCAGATCCCTCAAAGACTGACACGGAGCCAGCTTCTTCCCTGAAAACAGGGGGAAGAAGGCTGGCTTGTGGTTAGATGAGATTAGAGTGGAACTGGGACAGAAATGCTGTTAGTCAGCTTAAACTGCCCAAGATCAGATCGTAGAGCAAAAGGATTACACGCAAGTCAAATGTATTTGTTTAAATTGTCATCAATGAGCTTTGAAGAAAATGATTCATCAAACAAATGAGTCAGCTCTCCTGCATTTTCAGGCAAACACCAGTTTGGGATGTTGACAGTGGATCAGTTTATCTTGGTCTTTTCCTCAGAAACTACAGAGGCTGAAGCTTAGGAGGTTGGAGTGGCAGTAAGTGCAATGCAGGCTTGCTGCTGACATGACAGCTAAGGATAAGGAACTGATTGCTCTTTCAGATAATAAGCCTGCATGGTTTTATGCGGCTGACTTATCACATTCCCAAGATCCTACCTGTATCTTGATTAAGATTTTGTCTTAAAGAAGCAAAGCATAACAAGTGGCAAGTAATACAACAGTTTATGACATCTTAGCGGTTTGCACAGATGTTGAAAACCGTTAAGATAAAAATACCATTTTTAGAACCTAACTTCCTTTAGCATGCTTATAGAAGTACTGTAAAGCCTCAGCAACAGCAACTGCAACCAAAGCAATTTTCCCTCTGTGCTCCAGGGCAGAAGGTGCTTCCAGGAGCTAGCTCTTTTGAAGATTAACCGTTTGCTTTAAGTGACAAACCTCATCACACTGTTATAAGGTAAGAGAAATTGTGTCAGAGTTCTGCAGCAAGATCCAACTTCATAAGGTTAAAAAGAGCTCATATAAATTATGAGTAAATAAATATAAGTGCTCTCTGCCTTGGTAATTTCTCAAAGTTAGAGTAAGTAATTCCCCAAGATGTTCATGCATTTCTACTAAACTTGGCTTTTCAGTACTTACTGTAATGATTTTCCTAGTAGTTTTCACAAAAGCACTCTGCAAAGGACTTTTTCATTTTATAGTAAACTCCATTTTACAATTATCAAGCATTTAACTTTGCTGCCGTCAATAGCTGCCCACGCTATAAAACTGTAAATTAGTAATTATCCAAAGGCAACTAAGTAGTTTTCACCTATCATGCAACATCACACATTTATAATAAATTTAACGCACTTTCCTCCTAGATTTTCCAGAGAATTTTGTTTATCCAAGCCATTTATAACTGAAAATGTACTGTCCTCTTCCCTATCATAGGAAAAAGCAAATTTGTCTGCTACGTCCGTCACAGAACTGTATTCTATGAATTAACATTAATAATTTTACCATAACATTGATGTCAGTATTGCTTAAGTAAGCTTATTCTAACCCTGGTTAAACAAATTGAAGACAAACTGCTGGAATCCAGTTTGTATTTATTATCACAGCCCTTTGGCCTCCCCACGGAAAGCCATTTTACAATTATGGCACAATAATTTCTGTACAGCAGCATTAGCAGGTCTCTCGAAGTGTAACACAGTGACTCACGAAACTGGCAACATACTTTCAACAACCTGAATCAGTGCAAAGACAAGGCAGGGTCACAGCAAAGGAAAAATATTCTTGATCAAATTTTCAAGCTACTCAGCAAAATTTACTCACACGAAACAAAAACAGTATGGGGACAGTGTGAGTATTCACTCATAGCTCAACTGCAGGAGGAATGAAGTTGATCTCACTGGCGAAGAGTCATCACCCTTCACAAAGCAGGTTCAGGAGGTAAGACCAACACAGCCATCCCGCATCAGACTTGCAATGAATGGAAGTGCTTCTTCCCCCTCTTTGGCAACCAGCCCTCTTGCTGATAAATCTCACACAAAATGGAAGGTAAAAAAGAACACTGCTCAAGAACTCCTTCACATACTTATCTCCACAGAATATTGCAAAAGCCAGAAATATCTCCAAATCTTTTGTCAGTCTATGACATTTTTGGGTAGGCCTTACACATAGTACGCTAGAACTTGCATGCTTTGAAAGGCAGGACAGATTCTCTTCTGTCACTCAATATCACGGCAGCAAAATTTACTACACCTTCTGAAGTTTAATCCTAGTATACAACACTTAAGCTTGAAGTTTACTATGAATACGGTAATCAAGTGCTTGCATTAACCTCTCACCCAGTTATATTTTTATTTCTAATGGCCCATTATCTTTATGTTAATTTTACTATAAAAGCTAACTTTAAAAATAGATGTCTTAGATTAACAAAAACAAAAACTTTGAAGACTTCAAATTATTTGTCCTGCATCTTCAGGCAGCACATACTACTAACCAAAACAAATATTTGGGCATTCATTGTGGTCAAAATTAACCACGCAACACTGAAAGATTTTTTTAAAATACTCTACTTGAAAAGGAAAAACTACTCTACTTGAAAAGGAAAGATGATCCAAAAAATTCCATTATCAGTGAAAATCTTTTTATTGAGCTATGGGCTTTAGAACAAGCCAAAAACAAAACAAGAAAAGAAAACATGGACAGCTAAGTATATGTAGAGATATGAGTTACAGCAGCCTGTAGAATAAATCAGTATCATGTTTCAAAACCCTTATTTCAAAGCACTGAGAAAAAGCTAAACACATAACAATTTAATCTGTTTTTTCCTTACTTTGCATGCTAAACTAGGCGTGTAATTTCCACATTTTCTAAACAAAAAAATCCTGAATACGTTATTAAAAACCCTTGTAAATCTCCCACATACCTAAAGTAGCAAATAGTTCTACCACTGTCTGTTAAATGTAAGTAAGAAAGATATTAAATAGTAATCAGCAGAAAAACAGCTACTAAATAACCGATACTTGATTTTACTCCATAGCTCTTCATTCCAAAAAATCTTTTGTAAAAGCCAAATTCCAGGCATCTTTGTCCTGCTGCTAACCTCCTTTTCAAAGGACCTGTGCTTCTACTGCATTTATTTGCATCTTTCATTTCTGTCACTTTAAATACTCCTTATCAGTGTCCATGTAATTTCTTCTGTTTCTTTAAGATACCAAAACCAAAAGTAATTTGAAAAAAAAGTCTTCCCAATTCAAGCCATCAAAATTTGATGAGTATGTTATTTTCTCACATTTAGTCTGAATAGAATTTTGATTATAATTTTTTATTTAAAAAAAAAAACAAAAACAACAACAAAAAAAAACTAAGCCTACAGAGAAGTTTTGTCATCTTGCTAACAGGATCTTAACCCTTTAATGTTCCCAAATGATTAAAATTGGAAGTATTATTAGAGTACTGTATCTTTTATAACATTTACTATATTATGATACACTGTATTATTTTTTCTTTTAAAAATAATAATGTAATATAGTAATACAGCTTAGTATTACGTTTTAACATGAAGCATTTTGTATTATTTACTAGGAAAGCAAACAGATTAAGCAATATCCATTTCACTTTTGAAGATATTGTGCCTTATTTCTATTTTTTTTCTTGAACAATTTGCATACTAACATCCCAATTCACCTCCTTACCATGATTAAAGTTTATGAGGATTCTAAATAACATTGGGTCAATCTCTTTCCCAGGTATGGTTTTGGCTAGTCTTCATGCCAAATTTTGCAGCCTATAAGCTAGATCCAGCTCATCCAGATAGTCTCTCTCACATGACTTAGGTCAAGGTTAGGTAACAAACCTAACATAGTTTGCAACATTAACTAAACAAGCTATTTCAGGCAAAATACACCAGCTCACATGCACTTACCTCTCTTTAGTTTCCTGTGAAAGTTAACAAAAACCTTCCCTGTAAGTGAATGTGGGAGCTATAACCAAGCCTGCCAGAACAGCCAACCTTTATTTGTCTCAGAAAGCCCTGTATGTATGAGTTCTCCAATGCTAAGCTTTTCAAAATAGACACAAAGCAAAAATAAAACCTTTCTTACCAGAATGACATACCTATTTTTTCCCAGAAGAGAAATATGACTCCAAGTGCTGAATTCTTTATGAAGTTCTAGTCATATATTCCTAAGAATTGAATTCTAATTTATTACAAAAATTAGCTAATTGAACTCGTTTTAAAATCAACAGTCTTTAACTCATACAAAACATGGATTACTTCCTCTCAAAATATCATCCTTACTAATACATGTTATTTGGGAACAGTTGAGTTACAAACCGAAAATGCAGCAGAAAGCAACCTTCTATTATGACAGCTTTTGCATGTAAGAATCAAACATGCTACTCCAAGAACAACTGGATTGCACTTTATTTAAAATATTCACAAAATTGTACCAGAACAACATGTCAGTTCTGTGAAATCTCATATAATCATAGCAAATATCTAACAAAAAATAGAGACATTATGTTTCTGTGTCTTGGATTTAAAACTCGTATCATATTTAAAAAACTATATTTTGTATAAAGTATCATTAATTGAATATATTACTCAGTGTGTACAACTCCAAGATAAAATTTCTATGTACACAGAACATATTAGTACATCCACAAAATAAGGAAGTCACATAATTGGAGTGACTGTAAGCCAGCTGTACTTAAAGTATCAGCAGTAAAGCGAGTTAGGATAACGGTAAATGTTAGAAATATGAGAAAAAAGAACACTGAACTTCTTTGTGTACATGGGGCAATTTTACAGTAAGACCACTCCTGTCGTAATGAAGGGCTTGAGGTATGTAAGATCTCCTTCATTTCTGAAGAGTTCTCTTTTAAGGTATGAACTTGATATACAGAGGAATTTTTTGAGAAAAACAGAAGGCTACAAGCAGTTTACTGAGGCCACTTATATACAGCTAAAACAGGAACTGTTTATCAGAACAGACAAACTTACAGAGTAGCAGTACCAAATGTAAGGTGAAATATTTGAGCAGCTGGTTTACAGTCTCTGAATTACGTCACAACCATACTTACAGAAAGAAGACAACATTTTCAACCACGTTATGTTTTCGAGAAGCTAAAACCTGAGATGATGCACATAATATCTGAATTTCAGAAATTAGTATACACCAATTTTTATCAAGTGCCCGATTCTTCATACAACTGTATTGGCATAAACTTCAGTTAGAGAGTCCTACCAAAATGAAGCAAAGGAATTACCACATAAATAAAGCTTTGTGTTCCTTAAGCTTTGCCAAACTAGGTCTATGAACTGAACTTACAGAAGATTTATTTACCTTTCAATATTGGAGTTTACAGAAAAAAATCAATTAAGAAAATTTTTTAAAAATTTAAATACACATAGTTTGTCAGCAGAAAAATCTAAATACTGCCATATGATTACATCCTGGGATTAATTGCACTTTTTTATGTTTGTAAGTAGCATATAAAATGAACTTCAGAATGAATGTTCTGATTAACATCATGATTAACATCAGTTAAAATTTGTCTTTTGTTAGTCATAGCTACAGAGGCAATTACGATAGTTTTGAAGTTCAAAGTAGTTTCAAAAGGGTCCATTAATTGTGAGGGTGTTGCTAACTTGTCAATCAAAAAAGAAAATAGAAGAAAATCAGAAATATTCAGAGCTATTTCTTTCTATGTGTTGCATATGTTTGCTTAGCCTGTTAATGATTATTTGGAGACTGGTTACAGAAGCTTAGAAGTGTAAACATGAATGACAAGAAGATAGACATCCTTCAGAGGCAATTGTAGCTAAAAAAAAATGACAGAATTCAGTATAGCAAACCTGTTCTTACTGATGTTATGGGAATCTAACTCTTTAGATGAGCAAGTGACAAGAATAAAAATAGCAGACATGATATTTTAGCTGATATTTTTTTAAAACCAGTAACATTAGATTAGATAAATGGTAGCATCTAACGAATCAGAAAGTACTGTAACCCCCAGAAAATAAATTCAGACATTTGAATATTCAAAGTAACAACATGAAAACTATTTTAAAGCAATTTGTTTCCTCTGATTAGACTGTTTTTATCCTTGATTCTGCAAGAAGTTAACCAGCTCTATTTTTGATAAATGAGAGCTGAGCAAATGACAATTAGCAGAAGCAGACTACAAATATATAGAAAAAAAAATATCTATTTTTTACTCTGTATGACTTGGCTGATTTGTTAGTGGGGGAAAATGCAGCATCACTACTGCTCCATCAGAATGCTCAGTTTTCCTATTCCATTTCATGAAAGAATATGTATATTTAACTCATGTATTTGTTACATTAATAGAAGTGAGAACACTCAAATAGAAGATCTGAGAATACAGGAAGTTATCTGAGGTTGCAACTTTGAAGTAAAAACAAAAAAGTAAGTAGTGCAATGTAAAGGCAGTTGAACATGAGTGTTATAAACAAAAATTAGCAGCTTCTGACAGTCAACTCCTATTTCCGAGCATTGATAAAAACTTTATTGCTTATATTATTCCTCAAGTGAGATGCTCCATAAATAGGTGTGCTAGACTGCTGAAAATCCAACCATCTGTTATCACGTTATACATATTTAAAGAAAGAAAGCAGGAAACAGTTGCATCTACAGTGCTGTACGCTAATACATAAAAATTTTCTGTCTTTTTAGAATATTTGTACAACACAAAGGACATACATTAACTGCTTCAGCACATTCCTTACAAGCAACTAGGTGGCCACAGGGAATGAGGACTACTGATATGTCTTTAGCCATACAGATTTTACAAAGCTTTTCTTCCTGCAAGCGCCTTAACTTCTCTTCCATACTGAGATCTAAGGAAAATAAACACATAGAAAAGAAGTTAACATACTTTAATAGCATCTATATCTAATTTTTCCACTCTTCACAGAAGGACAAGGTTCTCTTCATATGACTTAAAGGTCACACCTTTAAAAAGCAAAAATAAATTTACACGACAGGAAGCCAAACTGTAACATAGAATCCTTTCTACACACACACACACATCACCTCCAGGGCCAATGCAGGGAAAGTAGCTATACACGTATTTGCTATATTTTGAATTGGAAATATACACTGAATCTAAACAGTGCATATTCCAATCAGGAACCTATCTTTCCAAAGATTTCCCATGAATGGCTTTCCCAAAATCTATAAAGAAGGTGAAAGAAAGGTTCACTGATACTGGTTAAGTAATTTGGATTTTCTTTTCTTAGCAATTTCCTCAATTAGAAGAATGAGGATAAAATTTCCTTCCCTATCTCTGTCTAGAGAAATGCCCATACTTAAAAGCTTAAAGAATTGTAATCTAGAAAGAATCCATTTTGCATTGTACATTAGCTCTGGATTTTACAGAATGCCCCATTTGAAAATGCACAATTCAAAGGACTTCCCCTACCACTTCAGAAAAATTCCCCACAATCAGTCACAAAAAAAAAAAGAATTATGTTTATCTTCATCACAAGTTCTTTATCTGAATAACATCTATGAAAACTCTTATTAAAAAGAGTGGGTTAATAACATCCCTGCCTATCATGCCAACCAGATGGTCTTTTCCCTTCCTATGAATTCACCCATATGCTTGTCTTTAAACTACAAGTCTCTTGAGTCAGAAATCTCATTTCTGGTCTATTTGTGGAGTGTACCACAACGGCTTTCTGACCATGACCTGCATGTCTCAGCATAGCTGGGACATAAATAATTGTAAAGAAACACCACCTAGAAGTACACTTTTCCTTACTTGCCAAGAAGAAAAATGTTTCTATCCAGTGCTGTTAGTACTAATGCTAACTTTGTATCTGAAAAGTCTTAACAGTGGAGTATTTATTTTAATTTTGTGTATACTGAATATTTGACAGAACATTGATGTGTCTATTTCAGTTTGCCACTACAGTTCCCACATCTATAGTTATCCTTGCCTTTTTTATTTTGGTCACAGTATTTTTGTCTTTTTAGTTAACGTATCAATTTTCCCAGCAGGATGCTAGACTATTTCAATACTATACAGTTTTGTGGTATTAATACAACTCAATTTATTTTGTAGATTATATTTCTAGATGCTACTAACCTCAAATATTTTTTATCACCCCCTTGTTCATCTTTTTTAATGTCCAAAAATACTGTCTTGAATTTTAAGTTATAATACTCTAACTAATCTAAGCAAGACTGGGTCTGAGGATAGATAGATAGATAATAATAGGATCTATTTCATAGGCTAAAGACCTGATATGAGAATACACACATTGGTTTTACAATTAAGTAAGTTCACCTTGCTCAAGTGGGTTTTCATTTGGTGTTTCTTCCTTTAGATTTTCTTTCTGAGCACTTATTAAGTCTGCTACCAGATCCTCAACAGATGTATAGCTTGCTCCAGACATCTGCAATTTCTTTTGCATAATGCTCTTAATCTCAGACAAACTGAAACCCATGTGTATGGCATTTTGTACCAAATGATTCTGTAAGTGATCATCTAAAACAAGAAAAAAACAAAACACAAGAGTGAGACTGAGTATCTGACAGTATTCACAATGGTTTTCTAAGACACCTTTGCAAATACTTAGAAAAACAAACAAAAAACCTATAAATTTTTGCTAGTTCTAGGAATTGCATTGTAATAACACTGAAAATTTCAGAGTTGAGTTCTTCAACCCTACCTTTCCTAGACTCTCTTCACCTACTTATAACAAAATTACTCCTATGTTTACTATTCAGATCTACTACTTCAACAGTGTCAATGTAATTTCTAAAATCGAATGTCTTATATAATTAATATCACAAATTCCATAACTGAATGTTAGCTGAAATTCATCAGAAATCCCAAGGCACAATAAACACTTAAGTATTTGTTAATATTACATTAACTGTAATTCAGTTCAGGGAAGAAAAAGAATCATATATTAGACCTCCCCCTTCCTCTTTTTCAATATTATTGTATGAATAGGTTTGTTAGCAGTGTGACTTATTTCCAACCCTTCTTTTAAATGTAAAAGACTTATTTCTTCTTTACTTCACAAGATTATTCAAGGAGCAAAATTCTTAATTTCCTCTCATAAAAGAGCAGTATTTGAGAGATTTCTAAAATAGGTTTTGTGTAAGCACTCTTAATAGCAACAGCTATAATTCCCTGTCATGATGCTGTCTTCTTACTATTCCTTTAACTATCTTGTGGTTTTATTCCTTTATATTTGTGAGAAACATTGCAGGAATATCTAATAATCGAAAATGTAAAAAGCTATTTAAGCTTTCTTAGCTTTCTATTCCTTGCCATTCAACAGTCAAACTCTCCCTGCTTCATTGAAAAGCAACGATTGTTTCATTTCAGCATTCTCTAATTCATCCCATAACACTACTAATTAAATACTTGATGCGTACTTCCTAGATAGAAAAATAAGACTGCACCCTATCGGTACTTTCATGGTTTACTACCTCTTCTTTACAACATTTTCCTATCATGATTCAAGTTCTTCCAGGGAAAATAAACCTCACCGTGCAGTTGCTTAGAAGCAATGGAGCAGTGGAAGAATATCACCCAACATTTTGCCTCTCATTTGTTATCGAAAAATTGTCAACTTTGAAATTAACCATTTCCTTTATTATCCATGAAAATATGGATAGTCCAAAATAGTTTTTATTATTTTTATACCTTATTATAAAATGGTTGTTTTAATAAATAGATACCTTTAGGAAGTACTGTCACTTCAGCAGCTTCTATCTAAAAAAAAGTAATATAAAGATGACAAAATTATACTTCTGAAATTGGTAGAGGGAAACCTACATAGTTACAAGACATGAAATAGCTATTTGCTCTTGGTTATTTTATTGCGTAAAACTTTAATCTGTTCTCAACAACAACAAAGGGATCCTCATATTGTTATGCTTTGCATATTGTTTTAAATTTTCATTTTAACACTTCTTAGCAATGATAAGATTTATACAGTTCTTAGTCTCTCAAAGAATTCTAAAATAACATCAGATTTACTTTTTAGTGACTATAGAATTTATCAATGCCCTACCAACAAGAAAATAAGATATCTACTACACTTCAATAATGAAATTATTCATAAGCCATTGATTCCCAGGCTACAAAAAATAGTGTTTGTTTAGTATCAAATATACAACACACAAAAGGTACCCTACCTCTGATCCATAATGTAATTAGGAAGAACTGTGAGATATAAATCCCAAATAACAGAACCCAAAATATACCTCGATGTTTTTCACGTTTTACTAATAAATAAAACAGCAGGAGGACTATAAATTACACAGATGAGAAGAGCAACCATAAGAAAATTATGTTAATATTGTTTTTTATTTTAACAAAATGGTATTTGATTAATAAGCAAGGCACTTACTGTTGAATCCCTACATCCACCTCCTAAGTGAACATTATTTATAAATTCTAGTCCCTTTTCCTCTCTCACGAACCTGCACCTATAAACAAAAATATTTAGTTTTAACATAACTACACAAGCAGCAAACAACAGTTGATTATGTAGCATTGGAAAGGTTCAACAGAATTCCTATATCACACAGAATGCTTGCTTCTTGAATCTCTAGATGTTTAATCAACATCAGTAACACCTTAGCATTTCTAGGATCATCTTAACCATTTCAGCAATACTTCCATGTTTTTGGTGAAACAGAAAGCTAAAGAGTTGTTGGCCAGGCCATCTGACACCACAAGTTTATAAAAGTTAGGACTCCAATGTGTAACTAACATTATATTAAAATGATGTTTCTTTTAGTCTTTAGTAAGCAAAGAAAAACAGCCCCTGGTAAGGCAGGTGCCTTGTTTTCCAACCAGTCCTAGCCACTGGGCACAGCTTTTACTTATGAGACGATATAGAGAACGCTGTAACTTCTCCCAAGTAGTTCTCTACCTTCAGCAGTTCATGGACATACATAGCATGTTGTGAGACTCAAACACTGCCACTGAAGTGGATGTATAAACAAAAACTCCATATATAACTTCTAATGATCTGAGAGGAGGTATATTAGGTAAATTAGGTATAATTTAAGGAAACAATTTCACAACAAAGAAAATTACAACAAAGCCAAACACATATGAGGAGTGAAACATAGCAGCAAGAAAATGTATCTTTTAATCATTTACTACAGCAAGCCCAAAACTAGGAATTGTATGCTTTCAATTTGGAGAGACTAATATTTAAAAGATGCCTGTATCACTACTGGAAAAAAAAAGATCAGCTAATGCATAAATATTAACTTAAACTTTCCAGAGGATCTTTCACTGCAGAAGATGAGTTTGGCAGCTAACATGCAAAAGATAGGTATCTTTCACCTTTTTATACAAATAGCTTACACTTTGTACTTAGACAGCATTTACTCACCTGTAAGAAACAATGAATCATTCCTTCTTTCTGTAAAAAGGGAGTTTAGAAAATAGGCAACCTTCTAAACACCACTTACAGGTTTAGAATCCACAATCCTTGACAATTATGCAGAATTATGCAGAAATCTATTTTGAATTCAATACCATAACTAATTTCTTCAGGTTTGTTTGCACCATGACTAAACTAGCCATTTTGTATCCTGACTTAAATTAAAAACTTTGGCATGTATCAAGCTCTGAAAATAACAATTAAAATATATTGCTTGGATGATGAGGAAATAATCAGATATGTATTCACAAAACTTCACAATTATGCTAGCTGAGATGTCAGAACTCCAGACACAAGTCTCTTCTTCCCTTTAATAATCCCTACAATCAAGCTAACATGCATATAATACTGACAGAGTTTCAGAAAGTAAAATTTCATGGCAGACTTTCAGTCTGTTCACTTCTGATGACTTAGCTGTGCCCTCAACCTCTTGAGATTTAGTTCTTTCCCCACCCACTTTAGAATAAGTCCCTTCTACCTCTCAAAGATGACGTATTAATATCCTCTTCTGAGGCTTACAGTATAACATTAAAGTATATGTGGATCATTATGCACATAACAGCAAGATGATAGAAGATAAAACAGATGGAGTAACAGAAATGAGAACCACAAAGTATAAAACGTGGAAGATAACAATACGTTGGTGCCTACATGACAAAAACGAAGGAAGAGGAGAGCAACTAGAAAATGAAATTATGTTCATAAATACATCAAGCCATAGCCAAATTTCTGAAATTTGTATTTGTATGCTCTGTCATAAAGACATAATATACTATAAATAAGACTTAGACATGCCACAAGAAAACAGCAAAATATAACTTACCCGGGAAACCATTTGGCATGTTGATCCCATGGGTCTTCATTTTCCTTCCATTCTTGCAGTCCTCCACCACAGTGGAAACACACAACATGATCACCATTACCTTAGTAAATACATGAGGATAAAGTTAGTACTAGGCCTACAAAAAAGTATGTGAGTTCTCAGATAAAACTCTATGTTATTAAGGAGATAAAACCAGAAACAAACAAACAAAAAAAAAGTATTTGTAATACTGATTAGTAATTGCAACTGGAAAAAAAAATCAAATGCAACTGGAAAAAAATCAAATTTGAAGGAGGACATAGTAAGTATGATCTGAAACAAACATTCAGGAAAAAAATTGAGCTTAAAAAATACAAAACATGAGTCATATAAAATGTTTCTGAATTCCATTTTAGCATGTAATTATACAAATATAAAGAAAATGCTAAAAATAAAGACTACATGCTACATAAAGACTAAATGCTACAATTAAAGACTGCAACAGAAACTGCTTAGGTAGTGTAGTGATTGAAATGAAAGGAAGTAGGGATACTGTTTTCTGCAGCATTAAACCCTTCTTAACCCCCATGAAACAGTTTCCACAGAAGTCACTTGAAAAGCTCTCTGGTCTGCCAAACTCCCCTTTTAGGGTACCTCCACAGTACAGATTTCTCTTGCTATGCTAAGCTAGTTATTTTTAGGAATTCAAGATGAAATTAATAAAACAATTCTAATGGGTACAAACATTGGCCATATATCACCCATATAAGAATATATCAACAGTTTCATTTATGGCCACAAGCAAAACAAATGGTATCAGATTAAAGAGCTCTTCTGGGAGCTACCAAGATAGAAGCCAATTATGATCAGAGGAAGAAGTTACCCTGGATAATCCTCCTTTTCTTTGTGACCTAATAATAGCCATACTTTGCACAGCATCTCTCAGTGAAGAATTTCAAAGAGCTTTATCTGCACCATGCAATTCAATCTAATAAGGAATTATTTTCCTTCTCCAGCTTGGGAAACCAATGCACAAAGATATCAGAGCCTCATCCAAGTTATACACTACATTTCTAAGAGTAAAAACTCTGCCTGTAGAGTCATTGTCTTCAAAAAGCTTTTACTGTAGGTCATAATGGCATTGGCTTGTTTTGGGTGTCCAGATGCTATGATAATGGGAACACATTAACTAATTAAAATTGCAGATAACCTGGATTGCCTTGTTCATAGGCTTGTGTATGAACCACAAGCTTGCTCGTTAAACCTGAGGTCGCTACCTGAAAGACAGCACTTCATATGAAAAAAATTAACTTTAATAATTGTCATTGTGAAAGATAGATTAACAAAGTTTTAGCCAACAAGGAAAAGTTATTTTGGTATTTTACTGGTAGAAAAATAGTGATAACTTTGTATTTTGCTAAAAAAAAAAAAGTAATTGATTTTACATATATCATTTTATGTAAGAACTACAAAAATTAATTTACAGAGCAGAGTAAAATGAATTTCAACACAACTAAAATTCTGGCAAATCATTTTTTTCATAATAAAGTACTTTTCCAATTAAAATGTATTTGTAAGAGATATTAGCCATTTTAAGGTCTGTCTTACCTATGCTATAGAACCCAGCTTCAGCAAGTTGTTCTTTGTTAACAGGGTATATCCAATTTAAAAAGGTTTGTATCCGTCTTTCATATTCTGCCATGGATGGATTCCTTGGATGCTGTTCATCGTTTAGACCATTTCTTCCCAGCTCAGCAGGAATAGATTCACTTGGAACATTTCCAACATCCCGGCCCAGAACAAAATAGCATCTGGGATAGTGCCTCTTGTGTTCTGACCATGCTCTGTCACTAGGTTCCCAGTTTTTCAGTTTTCCACCACAACAAAAACATGCCACTTGATCACCAACACCTGTGTAATAGAGTCCAGCACTAGCCAATTCCTTTGGTGCCAACAGGCCATAGGAGGGCCAGTTGTGAAAAGACTTTAACCTTGCCTCTTCACTGCACATAGCAGGGTTTTTAGGATACAAAATATCCGACATATCCACAACCTGCCTAGTTCTCAACAGGTAGTCTGCCTCCAGTTCAGGCGAGTCATCCAGAGCAGGCAAGAGCACCGAATTGCTGCTGCCATTTTCAGCTCTATGCTGGTAGTTCTGGGCAAGAGGACGCAGATCATTCTCCAAAAAAGTAGACTCGGTAATAAATTTGCAGTTTGGGGAAAGGTTTTTGTGTCTCTCAACTGCCGAATCCCCAGGCTGCCATCCTTCTATAGTCACGTGGCAACTGAAGCACTTCACTTTACAGCCTTCGCCGGTATAAACAAAGCCAGCTTGTGCCAGAGCTGATGCTGAAACCAGACAATCAAGTGGAAATTCAGCAAAGCTTCCTAGTCGGTGGTGTTCTTGGGCCCAGTCCTGGTCATAGTCAGTGCCTGGAGTGGCATGAGGCTCAGAGTTACCTGGGCCATTACACGTCATTTCTTCATGTGCAGGGTTCCTCTTTCAGATTTCCTAAATGAAGCACACAGACGTTAATTTCAGACAGAAGAATCCATGGTACATATTTGCAAGCCTGGAAAGAGGCTAAATTAAACTAGCTATCCTTTAAATATACAAAGAATGCCTCTTCCTGTTCCCCCCACCTCACCCTTGCCTGCTAAACCAAAAATAAAACTAAAGCCAGGAAGATCATAAAGTTTTACAGGAATGAATCATAAAACCTGACCAATAAAAATTTGTCTAGAATGTATTCGAGTTTATGCATTTATAAATTTAAAACAATGTTCTTTAAAAAAAAAAAAAAGAAAAAAAACATTTTAAGAATGAAATTAATTTAAATATTTAACAAAGGCTCTGGGCAAAAACTCTGCCAAAAAACTTCCAAACCCAAAATATGAAGTTACTGAATGTGATGTAGTAAATCAAAGCCAGACATGCAAGATTTTACAGTCCAGTTTCGCAGCACAACTATCTTTGTTTCCCCCGTACTAATGTCACAACCACCTGTCCATTACAGATTGGCATCAACTGGTAAATCCATCATCAGAAAGAAAAAAAAATAACCACTGGACTTCCATTTATGTTTTCAAGACATACTTCTCAGTTTTCCTTTTAGTAAAATATCTGAGTAAATTAATTCAGATGTTTCACTGGCCACTTATTAACATGCTTTGCTGTCCTTTCAGCTCAGTTTCTTGCCCTACACAGGGTTAGTGCTGGTGCCCAGCACACTGCTTCTTTTTGTGTCTGGCCAGCAGAAGCACAAGAGGTTCCTGTATCTCTGCCACCACCCCAACTTTTGCCTTCCCTGCCCTCCCCAAGGGAACCAGCCTCTCTCCCTACCACTGGTCCCACTCCTACCTCTGCCTATGCTTTTCTTGTGTGAGCACCCCGGGCCCCTCTGTACCAGGTGGCTGCTAAAAGCGCTCAGACGAGTCCCTTCTGGATGAGAGAACGCAACTCCACGTACGAAGCCCAAGCAATCACAACCTACTTAATCCGTCTTGGGATGAAGGAGTACAGTCAATATTTATCTCTTGTCCTAACAAGTGCAGTGATACGATTATTTAGAAAACCTCATGTAAAACACAGGCTACGGTTGACAGATAACTCAAGCTTACTCCTTTGCTAAGCGGTAAATTGAATTACTACAAGAGCGCTCAAACTTCATAGCACAAGGCAGTAGTTCGGCAATTAGCAAGAAAAAATGGAAGAACAAAATGTATTTATTTAACCAAGTGCCATTCTCTACATGAGTCCTGTAATATATCCTATTTCCCATCCACAGCTTTACAAGGCAGGCCATCATGCAAGAATTTAACACTCATAGGGCTGCTATGGAGCACAGGTATTTTTTTTATTTTCCTGGTCAGTCTCAATCAGTTTGTCAGCAGTGGTTGGAAACAGAACTACACTGCACTTATTATTCTGAAAAGAAGGTTCATTGAATGGAAGGAAATTTCATTTATTTCTGATACATTGCTCTTCAAAACCGTATATATGGTGATTAGAAGCAGTACTGCTCATATAAAGAGCTCAAACAGTGTAAATCATGAGGCAAAAATTATATAAAACCTTCTGTTAAAATTGAATTCAGGATTTGGGATCTTTAGGCTTGTGGACAAAAAGCCTCAAGGTTAAGAGCTTGCACTAATGTAAACAGCTGATATACAAAAAAACATACATGTTCCATGGTTCTTAATTAACTACACCATTCATAGCAATAACATAGCTAATTCATGACATTATCTTGTAGGTAGAAAGATACAAGATGTATCTAACAGCTAGGTCATCTGTGCTGCCCTCTCCTATTCTGCCAGGAATATTTGAGCTTATGTATGTTGGACAAGCTGATAGCTGTTTTGGCAAGGCAATGAAGTCCTTAAAGTTCAGCATCATGAAAACTGGTGACCAGGAAAGGGAAAAGATATCATCAGCAGCAAGACAAAGCCAATATATAGAAAATCACATTATGTTTGAGAACTATTACTTAAGTCTATCATTTCAAATAATAAAGAGCTTCACTGCAAAAGCCACGTAACAGAACAAAACATCTAAAGGATTTACATCCTGTCAAAATCTGATAGACAGAGACGCTTCAGAATGTGCTTGACCGGTCAATCCTGCTCAGGGAGAAGCACAAAAGAAAAGGTGGGGTAAAGGGAAGAGGCTTGTTCAACCTCACTCATGCCAAAATGATTGCATAGAGGATCAACAAAGTAGTAGGGGGATGAGAGAAAATACTACTCTGAAGTTACAGAGAGAGTACACGACCTGCCACACCAAAGGCCTAGTTGACAGAACTGGGTAGACCTTCAGAACAGATGACAAGGACTTGAGAAAGAAACCACCCAGCCCAATCACACTCCAGAGGACACAAATACATTCCCGAGAGAGACAAAGAAGTTAGAATACAGGTAAGTATTACACGAGCACAGGGAGGCGTTCCATGTAAGCATTCCACATTAAAACTTCTCTAGTACGCACTGGCAAACAGCTTCATCTTCCACAGGGGACGATCCCACTTACGTTGGAGAGGACCCTGAAACCTACCAACTGTAATGAAAAATTCAGGTGCTACATTAATTTAGCTGGTTTTCCTCTGTAAGACCCTTAAGCTCAAGGAAGTGGTAAATCTTCAAGGTCATGTAAGCGGTTTTATCCTCATTTCGAGGAGTGCTGCCAGGCACAGAGCACAGTGAGACAGAACAACCCTTTTCAGTCCAAGTCAGATGCAAACTTGGTGAATTGTAGTCCCTCAACTTACACAATATGAAGTCTGCAAAATACTTAGGAAAAATATAATTTTACAAAGCTAGATGCTAATCCCAAAAATGCTTAAGGATATGTTTAACTTTATTTACTACCAGCCATCAAAGCCAAGAGATGCCTTTTATCTATGCTTATTTTTATTCCTGTAAGCGCGTGCTGGACTTAGAGCACGGCCAGGAAACAAGTCACAGCTTTAGTTCTTCTCGCAGAGGATGTACTAATATTTGCAGTGCCAAACACACACACTGCTTTGCTAGCAGCATCCACTGAACTCCATGAGGAAAAAACCTCTCATTACTCTACAACAGAAAATGACACATCTTATGGATAAAATAGTACCACATTTATTTTAAACATTCCAAAAATATCCCTACCAATAATCTTTGCAATAAACCAACCACAAATTCTGAGGTCAATTCCTCTTTTAGCTGTTCCACAAAAATAAACATGGGACATGCCAAGTCACATTCAGTGGTCAAAGGACACTTCTCTTCCTCAAATGGCCACAAAGCCACCAGTGATTTGAAACAGCACTGAGAGATCACAGGTGAGCACAGAAGCAAAAGCCAAGCTAGTATCCAGCCCTGGCAATTCACACTAGAAGTGGTCCTGTCCCTGAAGCAGATCCTCTTACACACCTGGTGCACTCTACTCCGTCCATTCGCGACAAACTACTCCAAGTAAGCACCCACCTAACTTGTTATTGGTAGGATTTCATTAATACAAAGCAATAGGATGAGTTGGCATTGCAAAATTAGGGGTTCCTGCTCCGGTGTGGCTTGCCTGCAGGTGATAGCCACCTATGGGTACCTGTGCCCCTGCTGGCAGGGAGCAGCCTACCCCCAGGTAGCCAAGTTCAGGGAACAGTGCCACGTTTCTTGGTCTGAACATTGTTCTGCAGCCTGACGTAAAGCACTGGGGTTCTCCATTATTTCCATCAGTTCCAGGGCTGTCTGGAATAAGCTGGGACCAGCCCACAGCAGGTCTGGACTGCCCCCTTGCCCGCAGTACCTCCACAGCTCTCTGCTTCTTGTGTTAGGCAAGAACATGTTTTACACCAGTAAGGTACATAAAGCAAATCAGAAACGGGCAAGCAATTATTACCTGTCCTTAGAAAAAATTGCCAGGAACACCCTCCATACTGTCAGCAGTTACTGCCATCAAAGACTTTAGCTCAATGCAACACCCTTCTTGAGAGCTTCATTTGCTCAAAGAAAAGCATTTGTTTCAGACAGTCTAAAAAAAAGAGAAACTTGAACTAGAACAATGCTGAAAACATCTAAAAACCAGGAGGCCTTTATCTGCTCAAGAGCTTTGTTCTCAGTTCTCATTCCCCAACACCTGCAGTAACACCACCTATAGCTGTTGTACAGTCAGTGCAGATGTTTCAATTATATCTGTTTGTATAATACCAGATTTAGCAAGAAGAGGCAAAACCTTTTTCAAATTTCAGACAGGGGTGGGGAAAATCACCGTGCATTGCAGGATCACCGCCTTGCTTGCCGAAATGACAAAGCTCATTAACCACTAAGTAGGGTGAGAAAATGTGACGTTGGAGAGCTGGCATGCTTGCTTTGTGCAGCCACGGAGACGTGACTGGTTCCGAGCACCAACTCGAATTATTTCTTAAAGGCAGTTTGTAACTAGTGTAGTAACACCTGACGTTACACTGAATCATACTGTGCTTCTCTGCTTTAGCTAGCAAATTCAGAAGTAGCTATTGAATAAATTGCATTGACTGACCTAGAAATCTGACCTATATGTTTGTTTGGACTTCCAAAGGGCAAAAATCAGTAATTACATGTAGTAATATGAGAATGGTCATGATACACACTACTAATAAAGAAACCTACTTTTATAATAACAAGTTTAAAGGTTCGTGTTTATTTCCTTTTAAAAATCTTTTTTTTGAAATCTTCTAGGACTGTTTCTGTAAAGATCTCAAATGACCTTAAGGGACTCTCATCTTTATTACTACACTGTGTTCATACAACGATTTGTAGTACCCAAACAGCCCAAGCTGCACACTCTTTTTCTTATCTTCATGCCTACAAGACTTCCCATAAGGTGGCAAACAAAGCCTACTCATGCCCTCCACAGATTCCTTCTCAAAATCAATCTTGAAAAGACAAACACATGTGCTTTCCATGTATGAATAGCAGCCTTTCTTTTTACTTAACTTACATAAAAAACAGCTCAGAAACAATAAAAAAAAACACAAAACACGACTCTTACCCTAT